GCATTCAGACATTTTTCCTAAAATTTAAATGGTTTAAACTGTGATGTCCTACACGCATGGGTGATGATCATATGACCCGAGGTGCCTGGGACAATCCCGGGTTCTGCCTGTCTCACCACACCCGCCTTGGAGAGGCCGTGGTCTGGTCACCTGTCTGTGAGGGATTTGCTCAAAGACGGCAGACCCCGGGGATCCTGAATTCCCCCAGCGGGACAGGCAGCTAAGAAATTCCGCATTCCTTCTGTTCGCTTTTGGCTTAGAAAGCCCCAAGGGTGGAGAGGTTTGCTGATCCTGACCCGGCTCCTTCTAGAGCATCCGTGCGAGGGAAACTGAAGCAGAGAGACACCCCCGAGCCAGGGCCCATACCGACCAGATTTCCTGCAACTGGCTCTTTCTGCCACTGGTGTCCGTGGGCCGGCCACATCCCCACCCAAGGCCATCTATCCGCTCTGTCCCCTCAAGTCTGAAGGCTTGTCTGGAAGCCGAGGCGAGGCAAGGCTTCCGGTGGGACCTAAGTGGGCTAGTCAGGGTTTGTCATTTGGTAAAAGCAGACTTAGATCGCCCACCTAAATTTTAAAGTCCCCTGCCCCCAAATGGTCCCACGACAAAGCCAATTTTCCAAAGAACGGGCTGAGAAACAAGTGGCACCATCTCAGGTCTGAGGGCTCCCTGTGTAACCTCGCTTCAGATCAGCAGGTGTTGGGGGATCCTGCCTGGTCCATGGGAATGAAGCAGGTCACCTCTGAGCACCCCGCTTCCTCCTCGAGTCCCACAGCTTCACAGGAGGCACAAGAAAGCCCTTTGCACACCATAAAGGCGGTGGGTGGCGGGTGGCGGCCTGGGTCGGGGTCAAACGCGGAGAAGCGGGTCTCTCTCAGCCATTTGTAGCAACACCCCGCCTCGTGCTCCCTGCAGCGCTGCATGTCAGCTCCACCTGTGGCTCTGATCACAGCGTGGCCCGCCTGGAAGCCACCCCACTGTCTTGGCAGACGTCCCAGCCTCCTGTCTGAGTAAACTACTTGGCCTTCAGCCTTGACTTTAGTCACTGGGGAGCTAAATTAACACGCTGTAAAACAGCCGCTACAGTTCTTTCCCTCGGGTCGGCAGGGGGAAAAAAAAGAAGAGTGGCTTCATGTCCGAGGAGAAAGGGACACCACCTTAGCGGTCTGATTCCCAGGGGAAAGTCACGAGTGTCTGCAAAGGCAGCGTCCACAAGCTGGGGGACTGTCCCAGAGCTGAGACCTCCCCAGTCACAGGTCTGAGGGGGCGCAGGGTGGGGCCCCCTCTCCTTCCAGCACCCCGAGGCCAATGGCACCCTGGCCTGGCTGCTCCAGGAGGGGTCCCCAGACCAGACGAGGCTCCTCGGGCACGGCTCCCACCTCGCGGCCTTCGCTGTGGCCTCCCTCTTCAGAAACCAGTGTGGGAACAGAAGGGACTTACAGTGGACCGGTCTGCAGGGAAGCTGACCGCTCCCCTCCCCCTGTACCTGGCAATGACCGGCCCAGCCCACAGCGGCTCCGCCCCGACCCGTATCTCCCGGGTTCTGACGGGGTCCAACGCCACTGAGCCCGTCTTCGGTGAAAAAGAAACCCTCATTCCACAAAGAGAAACTGACCAAGATTTGAGTGGCAGGGAGGGCGTCTTTTTTTTTTTTTTTTTAATTTTGTACATCCTAAGTCATAAAGGGAAATGAACAGTCTCCCATGTTTTCTTTTCTGTCATTACTCAGAAAGAAATATTTTGCAAAATTTAGGATAAAATATCAAATTGTTTATCCCAAATAATCTTGGTTCCAATCTGTTTCGCAAAGGAAGATGTTAGTGCAGTAAAGAGATGTCTCAAGAGACTTGACTGCCGTCCGTCTCCCCTCGAAGACGCTTGGCTTAAGAAATCCCTCTAGAAATCTC